GGCGGGAGCGCCTCCGCGCTCCCAAGCGGCACACTGTAGCAGTGCGCCACCGGGCCGGCCCCTGTTAAAGATATTTTTAAAGATGACTTAAGGGCCCCATCAATACCAGCCTGCTAAGAAGAGTGTAGCCAAAATGCTGGTCTCGATTTATGGCACAATTTCTCTGGTCTCCCAGTAGTTCTTTGCCTCCACTGTGTCATGCTGTTGTCTGGCTTTGCAGGCATCTAGGGTATGGGTTCAGAACAAAGTCGACGAGTCCAAACATGAGATCCACTCGCAAGTTGATGCTATCACAGCTGGAACGGCTTCAGTTGTTAACCTCACAGCTGGTAAGTCCCTGAGGGATTTGTGGTGTATTGTGGATTTGTGTCTTATTCTTTGATTGAAATGACAGATTTTCATATTGTGAGGATAGTCTTATTTTTAGGCACTTGGAATACTTTGGGCTCTTTCTCTCAATGACCCAGGAGAAATGTAAGGAACATCTCATTCCGTTTTGTCTCTATCCTGTATCATTATTAAAAAACACTTATTTAGTGTTTCTCATTGTTCATCAATATGCTGGACAAACATCAAAGTGTGTTGAGCTAGTTTCCCCCTTCCGGGAGCTTACAGTCCAAAATGGCTTTTAAGTGGACGGATCCAGCATACAGGCCTCTGCCTTAATGTCCAGCAGTGGTTTCTTCCTTGGTAGTCAGACTCCCAGCCCTGCACTGTCAAGTGAGAGCCAGGAAGGACCTTGGCTTTACCCTAAGCGGATCATTGTTTCAGGAGCAGAGTTGGCCCTCTGAGCTGCTGACAGGGGCCTAATGAAAAGGGGAATAGGATGCCGAGACTTCCTTTGGAATTTTAAAGGTGCTTGTGCTCGGTATTTCAATGTGTGAGGCTTCCGGGTGAAAGGACCTTCTTGAAGACACCTTGGAGACAGGGAGAGCTGCATCTCACCGTGCTCATGCAGAGCTTTGTGTCTCCTCCTGCGGGATGGTAGGGGATGAGCTCCTGCCAACGTGGGTTTTGAAAATTCTCACCAGGACCACTAACTCCTGCCAGCGTGGGCTCTCCTCACCCTTCACTGCCCCCTTTGATGGTGATGGTCCTTCTCTGTCCCAGGTGACCCTGCAGACACTGACTACACAGCTGTGGGATGTGCGATCACCACTATTTCTTCCAACTTGACGGAGATGTCCAAGGGTGTGAAGCTGTTGGCAGCCCTCATGGACGATGAGGTGGGCAGTGGGGAGGACTTGCTGAGAGCTGCGAGGACCCTTGCTGGAGCAGTGTCAGACTTGCTGAAAGCTGTGCAGCCTATTTCTGGAGAGGTGAGCTCTAGGGGCAAGCAGCCACTCTGGTTCTGATGAGACAGGTGTATCCTTTGGGGACCAGGGGCTCTTGCTTCCTGCCCTGTTCCTTCTATCCTGATGGGGGTGTTACCATGCCGTAGTATTTGGAGTTGTTGAACTGGTGCAGAAGCTATTGTTCAGCCTTCAGCATTGGTTGAGCTCTTGGTATGGAAGCTTACCCCACAGGGGTACTTGCTTAGATGTAACCCCAGGAACTTAACACATATGACTAATACACATTTAAAGGGATATAAGTTTACACCCTAATTCCCCTGTAACACATATCACCTTCTTACCAGCTGAACGAAGCTCATTGATTGGAAGTTGCAAATTCTTCTACCTATTGCTGGTTTGTGAGACATTGGGTGTTTCCTTGCACAGATTCCACCAGGATGTTTGTGTGTCCTATCTGGCAGACAACCCAAGATTCTCATTTATGTATTAGAGGAGCCAGTCTCGTGGGATTCTTCTTCCTGCACTGCCATGTCTGAGGACACTGTAGAGAAAGTGCGTTTTCTTTCTAATCAAGGTGTGTTCTTTGTTCATAGCCTCGCCAGACGGTTTTGACTGCTGCTGGAAGCATTGGGCAAGCAAGTGGGGATCTTCTGAGACAGATTGGAGAGAATGAGACTGATGAGCGATTCCAAGTAAGACACTCGCAGCCTCACAGTCTTGGGAAGGAGCCTAAGTGATGGTCTAGACCTGAGAGGGAGAATGTAATAGAGAACACACCAAATCTTCCTTGAGCTGTCAGTAAGATCAAGGTGGATTATCTTGGGAGTGAAGTCTTTTGTGCTAATTTTTTTTAAAAAATCATTTTAATGGAAAATCATCTCACTTACATCATGCATCATCATCATCTTAAAGTACTTACTTAGCCCTTCTTAATTTTTTTTAAAAAATCATTTTAATGGAAAATCATCTCACTTACATCATGCATCATCATCTTAAAGTACTTACTTAGCCCTTCTGGGGGGTGTGTCAATATGCTGGACATTCTGTAAAGATAAAAATGGAGAAAATAGTGTTGTGAACCCCCTTGTATCTACCACCCAACCTCCACAGTTGTCAGCTCCTGGCCAGTCTTGCTTTATCTATTTGGGGGAGTTTTTAATGGCATCGTTCTTGAGTTCACATATGAGCATGAAAAGTCATGCACTCCCATGCCACATACACATGTACATACACGTACACAAACACACAGACTTTATAGGCTTTCATTTGTATTCAGAGGTGGTTCTTTTTTCCATGTTTTATCCAAAACCACAAGTGTGATGGAGAAGTTTTTCATGTGACCCTTCTTTTTCAATAGCAGGGGCATGTGCTGCTTGTCCTCTGGTGAACAGCTGCAGCCATTGTGTGCAGCTGGCTTGATGCACTGCCAGCCTCACCAACTGTGGCTTGACAAGATCTCTCCTTCCTTGCCTCCGTCCCCAGCCACCACAGATGGGTGCCAAGGCCTGCTGTGGCTAGTTGAAGCCAGGATGAGCCTCTCTTCTCCTGTACTTGTGGGCCGATGCCCTTTACTCCTCTTAAGTCTCTAATTTTGCAAGTAACATATAAATACATTCTAATTAAAGTGTTACAGTTTTAACCCAGGTTCCCTTTTCCAAATTCTGTATCAATTTCAGGGTTTGGGAATTCTGCAGAATTTCATTTTTGTAACACTTAATAATACCAAAAAGACCATTCAGCTTTCCACTGGCATTAAGGTTACTTGCTTCCCAGGTGGCAATTTTGTGTTCCATTTTACGAGGAATGACCAAACTTCATCAGCACGAGATGTGTCGGATACACTAAGATGTAATCATATGAGGGTACTTCAAAAAGTTCATGGGAAAATAGAATTGACAGATAATACGAAATTTTCCATTAACATTTTGTTGTGAGACATGAAACTTACACCTTCATTCATAGATGTGCTTGTTTTTCCTTCATTCTCCACACACCTGTGGCACCGGGGCCATAGGACTCATTCATATCCTGCCATGCAGTAAGACACTCATGTCACGGTTCAAAGTGAG